AGAAATAATCTAAAAGTAGCTCTCCTGGTTACCAGCTTAAAAAAAGTATTGATTTACTAAAAGCCCAAGCAACAAGAATATTAAAGCTTTCATAGCAGTGACAGATACTCCTTTTCCTTAAAAGCGGTTGTGGATATCAACAGATAATTGTAATTTTACTTTTACTTTCAGAATTCTAGTTCAGATGCCTTCCGTGCCCCCTGTCTCTGATTATGACAACTTAACTTATTATTATGACAACTTCAAATATATTTTTCAGTAGATACTTTACAATTTTATTATTTTCTTTCTTTTACTAAAGATGCTACATCTTCCTTTGGGACAACTTCAGCCATTGGCATTTAATCTTTGTCAATTATTGTACAAAAGAATTTGAAAACAATTATTGAAATAACTAGGTAAACAAAATATGCAGAATTACTTATTTTGTCGCTACTGATTTAAAAAAAAAATACAAAACATTCCTGGGCATAGGTGATTACTAGATCTGAATCAAATCCAGGCTTTATTTCACCCAAAGTGGCGATACTGACTTCTAGTTTACACCTGAAAACAAGTGAAGTGTAAAAACAAGTGAACTGTAAATAAATCCTGATAAAATATATACTGTTACAATATTTATTTTTCAGTGATTAGACCAATTCATATTACATCATGCTTACTAGTAATGATACGCTTACTATCAATTACTTTCAGTGTCTTAGGCTACTAGTATATGTCTGACAATTAGTTTCTGGGATACTTATGCAACAGTGGTAGTAATATATGTACGCTGTATTTTCATAGGCATCAGATTGCCCATCATGGGAACAAAGTCTTACATAAGATAGGCCTTTAATCTGATCCAGCATGACTCCTCTTTGTATTACTTGTCTTAATTTTCAGAACCTCAGTTGTTACAGGGCTGTTTCTGTTGACTAAAATTTCACAAATTGTATTTTTATATTTCTCATGCCTTTGTGTTTTGTCTGCGCTCAGTCATTGCTGACCCTGCAGTGACTGCTTGGACGAGTCCTTGCATTTTTCAAGGCAACTGTTTTTCGGAAATGGTTTGCCGGAGCCTCCTTCCTAGGGCAGAGCCCAGCTGGCGAGTGCAGGAGGTGGGGTTTCCGTTGCTCCGCGCCCTTTTCGGGCGGGCGCGGTTTTTCGCGCTTACCAGT